TGTCTTATTCCTTCTCTACGCAAGTGTGGTTTGATTTCCGATGCATACAGCTTCTCTCATCCTCGTGTGTTGACCTGTTTTTGTGCACTCATGTCCAGAGATGGGAAGTAACAAAGTACAAATACTTCGTTACTGTACTCAAGTAGATTTTTCTGATATTTTTACTTTACTACTTATTTTTATGGCGACTTTTTACTTCTACTCCTTACATTTTTACACAAATATCTGTACTTTCTACTCCTTACATTTTAAAAACTTGGCTCGTTACTTTAGTTTTGAATCATTTCAATGGAGTTACCGTTATTATTTTTCACGTCATCAATGCCAAATTCAATCTAATTAGATGGGAATCTACGTTGCATTTGACGCACCACTACAAGATGAATCGACAGATTCGGCGGTATTCATTCGCGGCAAATCATTGCAGCTTGGTGGCGGTGGCGTTAGCATAGTAGCATGGACGACGAGATGATTGAAAATGAACACAACGGAGATCTAGTCCTATTGGCAGACATCCATTTAAAATGTAGGCAACGGCATGAAAAAAGTGGTTTCTACTTTTACTTTTATACTTTAAGTAAATTTACAAGCCTGTACTTTGTTACTTTTACTTGAGTAAAGAAGTTTAATCAGTACTTCCACTTTTACCAGAGTATTTTTTAACACAAGTATCTGTACTTTTACTCAAGTACGGAAAGTGAGTACTTTTGCCATCTCTGCTCATGTCACCTTCTGTCACGGCGTTACCCACAGGACAAACCAACCTGCCTGTGATTTGCTACTTCTCACGAAATCCTGCCTCTTGTGGCTGTACTTTTCTTCCTACTAGCAAAGCAAAGTCTGTTACTGCAGTTCAGAGAGCATTAATAATGAACATAGATGAAAAGGGGGAGACGCTGAAATCTCTCTTGCCAAAGGGCTATACTTATGTCCCTGGCCAATGTAGGGCTAACATATTTCTTTGTGTTGCCATTTCCCACAGTGGGGTGGTACACCATTATGACAATATGGGCCCTCGCAACACATATCACATTGTCACATTTAAGTACTGATTAAACAGCCTTAACAGTTGATAAACAAATGTACCAAACATTGACATCTGGATCAATGTTGTCATTCCACTGCTCTGCCTTGGTGCAGAACTGGTTTCAACACAGTTTACAGTTCTAGATCTCTGGCTAGATCCAGCTAGGCAGAGAGATATGTATGTAATGTTTGATTTATTCTATTCAGATTACTTTTTGATTTCTGCTTTGAATTTCCAATACTTTGGGTGTGCTGCGTTGGGACATATTTTGTTGTGATTGTCTAAGTTGACTGATTTGGGATATATTAAGAGAAGTATATCGCATTTTTAATAGTATGCAGCATTGATTTTGGGTTTTTGATAATTTACCATGGTGTATATTTTCACTTTCTCTGGGTATTTCACTTATAGCAGTCTTCTCACTGAGAGTCAAAATTGACGTGTTTAAAGTTAAACACTGTTGTGTGTAACTGGTTCAAACAGAACTGAGCTTTGTGAAATGTGTTTCATAAGGTAACAGAATTCTAGATTTAGACTGAAACAATTATAAACTGTAAATTGCTATCCCAGTTTTTTTCTCTCCAAATAACCTAATGTGGGTTCTATTAGGTTAGAGGAATGTGGAGGCCATCTAGTGGTCCAAATAAGAACTACAACAACACTCCAAACCAGACAACTGACTGAATAATTGAGGACTGAAAATGGGCAAATAACAGTATTTTGTATTCAGACTAAAGTTATAGGAAAACTCAGCTGAAATCTGGATAAAGTCATTTAAAGTAAAGGCTTTAAAGGCATTGTAATGTTTTTTTTTACTGATTACATAATATGCTTCCTTGTAAGTATACTGAGAAAAATAGAATCAAACTTTGTCTTTAAATGTGGATGTTGATTAAGTGTTTAGAAGATGAAGTGGTTAGATATATTTTTTAAAGACTTCTGGCGCATCAAGCAAGATGAAGCCTTAACCCTCACTTGGTTAACAGTTAATTAAGACAACTTTTTGATTATGAAGCTAATTACAAGTTTCATAATCTAGATAAATAATTAATCACTTTGCTATATCTTCCTGGATTGCAAGAAAAGGAACAGTCATAAACAATATATAAAACTGTTATTAAATTTCCTTTATTTCAATAACTCAATTTACAGAGTAAATATAATCTAAGACTATTTTTAAGTTTATTATTATCATTTTCTGTTAGCAGGTAAAGAAAATACAGCATTTGAAATAATATTTTATCAGACTGTTGAAACACTTTATTATAGAAAGGTTGGATTGATGCACACATATTGAATACTTGCTTGAATATTAATTTGTTGAAAGATAGATTTTGATCTACAAAAGCTACACATTTTCTAATTCTTTGAATTAGATTGCACTGACTGACAAGTTTAGAACTTCTCGATTCACAAATGGGGCCTCCATGTGGGTACAAAAGCCTGGGGCCCTAAAAATAAACCCATCTCTATTGCTTCTGCTATTGCAAAATTGAGCCAATCAATAACTGTATAACCAGGATGAATTTAATCCAGATATCAGTGAATTGAAAACTATAAAAACCCAGCAAACACACTGTTTCCAACTTCCCCTTAAAGGTTCAACTACTACTTAAATTTCCAATTAATATTAAGCAGTTATAATTGGTATACTGTAAAGATAAAATATTTAACTTCTTTTCAGAGGACCACCTAACCAGAAAAGTTTTAATTGTACTATAACGGTTATAGATAGGAAGTCCAGCTCTATACCAGAAGAAGATAAAGAGATTTTGGAATGAGAGAAGGACTGCCCCAATATATAGGAACAGGAGATGAATTCATTGTGTTATTGCATAAAAAGCTTTAAACTCATACAAGCACAGTGCTGGAAAAAAAAAATCTCTTGACTCGCCTGCCACTATGAATTTAAGAGTGTAACTTGCAAATTGTTTTTACTGCAACTGGAAAAAAAAAAAAAGTTAAACGTTGCTAAGATCCCTTTGCAGAACAGAAAGAGGGAAAAGCATCCTATTATTAGGAGATTTTCACAGCAGAATATAAAGAGATGATCTGAGCATCCTTGTCACTTTTCCTCCATGTTGCAGCTTTGATATGTGAAAGTGCTGCTGCCTAACAAATAAAAAAAAAGGAAATGCTTAAATTAAGAACAATAAAAACAAGAAGGAATAGCTGTGAAAACCAATCAACCAGCAAAACTTCTCTAACCTTTTCTCCACGCTGAACAGTATACTCCACACAGCTAAAGATACCGCCCTTGTTCGGATCCCAGGTTTGGCCTCTGGTTCTGTTCTTCCTGCTAAAATAAAATGATAACCTGAGGATTTAACAAAAAGATTTAACTTCAATACAATTTCCTTGGTGCTCATTGGTAAAATAAACTAACAAGTATGTGTTTTCAAGAATATTCGAGACTTACATACATATCCGTTTGCAAAATAAGGCTATTTTAAAGACTAAACATTTGTAAGACTGTTTTGAAAATAGATGTATTCTCTGTCAGAAATTTCATGTATGTACTGAAAAACAACCAATCCCTGCCCACAAGCTTTTATAATCTGCAATAACAATTTATAGGAAAATATTTTCCACTTGTTTTTGTGACACTGTTCATGCTTTTATAATCTCCCTCTAGCTTACATTTGTTTCATGGTCCCATTATTGCATCTTATGCAAATGCATTTTAATTATTCATATTCTAAAATAAATCAACATAATTTCCAGCGATGTGGAAAGATTAAATGTTAAAATCCTGTTTTTTGGGTGTAAAAAATATCTGCATCCTATTAATAATCATGGAAGGGGGGCCAAATAAATCATAGATGAATTAGCTTATATATAAAACTAATGTGACACACAATGTTGTAACATAACTGAATGTTATAGTAAACATTATCAACTCCTGAGCTGCAGCTCTTCAACCAAACAGCAAGCAGTGAATTAGATATAACTCACCTACAGAGGCAGACAGCTAATGCAGTGCAACATAAAAGCAACCCCAGGGCAGGTGATAGTGAGAATGTAATGTACTGTGAGAAAGGGATTTCTGGAAATAAACAGATCATCTACACAGCTCACAGTTTAACCTTTAACCATCATAGTATGTACTGCAGTACGTACCATTTTGGGTCTCCAGTACTGTTAAGTTCCATGTTATACTGCCAAAGCCTCTACCACCAGTTATGCTGCATGTATAAAATCCGGCATCATCGTGCTGAACGCTAACAATATTAAGAGTAGACGGCATGTTTGCTTCTATTCTCAGTCTGTTAGAGGAGAAATCTGAAAAAGTTTCATTAAAAGAGGTTGAGTTAATAAAGAAAGGTCTGTCATTGGTCCATAGGATAAACTTTGTGTTTATGTTGGAAATGTTGCAGATGAACAAAACTGAGTCTCCTCTTGATACCAGAACATCTCTGTGGTCTTCTATGATAGGCACTGACATGGAGGAAAACAAATTAGAGAATATTTCAATTTAATAAAAAAAATAAAAATAAAAATAAAAAACAGAACATTTTCATTTAAAAATCCCCCAGAAGTGTTCAGTAAGTGATCTACATACAGTTTTGTTTCTCCAGTACTGCTAAGTTCCATGTTATACTGTTAATGCCTTTTTTGCCTGTTATGTTGCATGTATAAAGTCCGGCATCATCATGCTGAACACTAACAATATAAAGAGTAGACGGCATGTTTGCCTCTATTCTCAGTCTGTTAGAGGAGAAATTTGAAAACTTTTGATTAAAGTAGAATGAGTAAATAAAAAAAGGTCTGTCTTTGGTCCACAGGGTAAACATTGTGTTTAAGTTGGAAATGTTGCAGATGAACAAAACTGAGTCTCCTCTTGATACCAGAACATCTCTGTGGTCTTCTATGATAGGCACTGAAATGGAAGAAAACAAATAAGCAAATTACAGAACATCTTAGTTTAAACATCACTGATCACAAACATGATTCTGCTCTTTACCTGCAAAGCCTGTATTGATGAGCTGAATGAAGAGCAGAGCAGCTTGTTTTAGGCTGAACATGATGACCATCAGACAGTGAGAGACAGGCTGGAACTTTGTTGTCTGCTTTAAATGTTGCTGCAGAGGAGGTGCTGAAAAAAGGAAGTGGTTATTTGCTGTTTGAAGTTTAAGCTGCAAGTATTACCTTGCTGGGTTTGAGAATAATTAATGCTTTAGTCATATACACAGTTGTTATAAGTAGACTAACATCTTAAGTCCCCAGATTTACTTTTCTTTAGACAAAATGTCTTGTTAAAATAATCTGCTAATTGCATGTTTTCCACTTCAGTAATAGATGCAGAGAACCTGCATAATCAGAATCTAACAGGTTGTTCACAAAGAAGTGTAAACTTTAGGGCTGTTTGGCTTAATTAGTATTTTACTGGTAAAATGTTAGTCATAATAATGTTAGTTAATTAATGGCAGATTAATTATTGAGCAGTTTGCAATAAATAGCATATTTAATGTTTTAATTATTTGTCAGACAACTAAATAAATGTTATATTTATATTTCTCCATATTGCTCTCCATATACTTTAGAGATCATTGTGGAAATCGTCTTGCAACACCCCCCCCCCCCCCCCCCCCCCCCCCCAATTTGTATCTCGCGACCTCCCTGGGATCCCGTGCCCCACCACTTTTTAGAATCCCTGCTTTGGATAATAACTTGCATATTTGATTCATTTTGTATTCATCAATTGAGACTTTGAAAACTCATTTTTCTTCAAAGCTCTGAGTGTTTCTGTTCTTATTCACAGATTGTTTTTTTTGTTTGTTTTTTGTTTTTTTTTGCATTATCTTTATTTGAATGTCAGCTAAAAGAAAACAGAGTCGAGAAAGAGCGAGGTAGACAAGCAAGTCAGGATTGAAATAGGCTTTACCCCCTCCCCGCTGTTTCCGATTTTAAAACCTGACTTGCTTGTCTACCTCGCTCTTTCTCAACTCTGTTTTCTTTTAGCTGACATTCAAATAAAGATAATGCAAAAAAAAACAAAAAACAAAAAAAACAATCTGTGAATAAGAACAGAAACACTCAGAGCCTGATGCTTTTATTTTACATCACCAAAGATCAGACTTCCTGTGAAAACCATTAAACTATTGTACCTCTTGCACAAACATGCTCTTTAGAGTTTGATGAGGGGGGAAATGGTAAACCATAACGTGTGGTGTGTAGTGTATTTCTACCTAACTTTGCACTTGTAGCTCATGTCCACGATAATCATACTGTAGGACTGGTTAAATCTCTAGGCCAAGTGTTGTTTGGTGGGACTTGCATCTTCATTGTTGTGTTACTTGTATTCTTACTTGTAGAGTAAATGAAGCATAAAGTTCTTTAAGCATCAAATGTCAGGTCCACATATATAACCACCACAAAAAAAACTATATATTTTGTGTCGAGGCAAAAAAGTGTGATGTGAGAAAAAACCCTTTTAATTCAATCAAAGCTCATTGAGTGTCTGATGTTTTATATCAGCACTTGATGTAGCATTTTCTCTTTTGTAAAATTGGTATTAACAAATGCACCAGATGCAAAAAAAACATTGACATCTGGATCAATGTGTCATTCCACTGCTCTGCCTTGGTGCAGAACTGGTTTACAGTGTTAAAACTTTTTACCATACCATTTCTCCAATTCTAAACCGAATCTCTGGCTAGATCCAGCAAGGCAAAGAGATACGTATGTAATGTTTGATTTATTCTATTTACATTTTTTTTTTTCTTTGAATTTCCAGTACTTTGGGCATGCTGTGTTGGGACATATTTTACTGTGATTGTCTAAGTCGACTGATTTGGGGTATATTAAGAGAAATATATCACATTTTCAATAGTATGCAGCATTGATTTTGTTTTTTTGGAGAATTTAACACATCAATTTAAATTGATGTGTCTCAAGTTAGACACTAGTGTGTGCAACTGGTTCAAACAGAACTGAGCTTTGTGAAATGTGTTTCATAAGGTAACAGAATTCTAGATTTAGACTGAAACAATCATAAACTGTAAATTGCAATCCCAGTTTTTCCTCTCTGAAAAACCTAATGTGGGTTCTATTAGGTTGGAGGAATCTGGAGGCCATCTAGTGGTCCAAATAAGAACTACAAGAAAACTCCAAATCAGACAACTGACTGAATAATTGAGGACTGAAAATGCGCAAATAACAGTATTTTGTATACAGACTAAAGTTATAGGAAAACTCAGCTGAAATTTGGATGAAGTCATTTTAAAGTAAGGCCAAATCAACAGATCAGCTTTAAAGGCATTATTATTATTTTTTACTGATTAAATAATATGCTTCATTGTAAGTATACTGAGAGAAATAGACTCAAACTTTGTCTTTAAATGTAGATGTTGATTAAGTGTTTAGAAGATGAAGTGGTTAGATATTTCTTGAAAGACATCTGGCTCATCAAGAGAGATGAAGCCTTGACCCTCACTTGGTTAACAGTTAATCCAGACAACTTTTTGATTAGGAAGCTAATTACAAGTTTAATAATCTAGATAAATAATTAATCACTTTGCTATATCTTCCTGGATTGCAAAAAAAGAAACAGTCATAAACAATATATAAAACTGTTATTAAAAGTTCCTTTATTTCAATAACTCAATTTACAGAGTAAATATAATCTAAAACTATTTTTAAGTTTTTTATGATCATTTTCTAGTAGCAGGTAAAGAAAATACAGCATTTGAAATAATATTTTATCATAATAAATAATATTTGGCCTCTGGTTCTGTTCTTCCTGCTAAAACAAAATGATAACCTGAGGATTTAACAAAAAGATTTAACTTCAACACAGTTTCCTTGGTGCTCGTTGGTAAAATAAACAAACAAGTATGTGTTTTCAAGTATATTCAAGACTTAAATACATATCCACACACACATTAAGGCTATTTTAAAGACTAAACATTTGTGTAAGACTGTTTTGAAAATAGATGTATTCTCTGTCAGAAATTTCACAACCAATCCCTGCCCACAAGCTTTATTAATCTGCAAAAACAATTTATAGTAAAATATTTTCCACTTGTTTTTGTGACACTGTTCATGCTTTTAGAATCTCCCTCTAGATTACATTTGTTTCATGGTCACATTATTGCATCTTATGCAAATGCATTTTAATTATTCATATTCTAAAATAAATCAACATCATTTCCAGCGATGTGGAAAGATTTAATGTTAAAATCCAGTTTTTTGGGTGTAAAAAATATTTCAATCATATCTGCATCCTATTAATAATCATGGAAGGGGGTCAAATAAATCAGAGAGGAAATAACTTATATATAAAACTAATTTGACACACAATGTTGTAACATAACTGAATGTTATAGTAAACATTATCAACTCCTGAGCTGCAGCTCTTCAACCAAACAGCAAGCAGTGAATTAGATATAACTCACCTAGAGAGGCAGACAGCTAATGCAGTGCAACATAAAAGCAACCCCAGGGCAGGTGGTAGTGAGAATGTAATGTACTGTGAGAAAGGGATTTCTGGAAATAAACAAACAGATCATCCACACAATTTAGCCTTTAATCATCGCAGTATGTATTGCAGAAGTGTTCAGTAACTGCTCTACATACCACTTTGGTTCTCCAATACTGTTAAGTTCCATGTTATACTGCCAAGGCCTTTATCACCAGTTATGCTGCATGTATAAAGTCCAGCATCATCGTGCTGAACGCTAATAATATTAAGAGTAGACGGCATGTTTGCTTCTATTCTCAGTCTGTTAGAGGAGAAATTTGAAAATGTTTGATTTAAGTAGAATGAGTAAATAAAAGAAGGTCTGTCTTTGGTCCATAGGATAAACGTTGTGTCTAAGTTGGATATGTTGCAGATGAATATAACTGAATCTCCTCTTGATACCAGAACATCTCTGTGGTCTTTTATGGCAGGCGCTGAAATGAAAGAAAACAAATAAAAAAATGAGAGAACATTTTAGTTTAAACATCATGCATCACAAATATAAATCTAAACTTTACTTGCAGAGAAGCAGCCCGTATGGAGGAGCTGAATGAAGAGCAGCGCAGCTTGTTTCAGGCTGAACATGATGACCATCAGACAGTGAGAGACAGGCTGGGACATTGTTGTCTTTAAATGTTGCTGCAGAGGAGGTGCTGGAAATAGGAAGTTGTTAGTTGCTTTTTGAAGTTTAAGATGCAAGTATTACCTTCATGCTTGAGTCATATGGCTTAATTAGTATTTTACTGGTAAAATGTTAGTTATAATAATGTTAGTTATTTAATGGCAGGTTAATTTGCGAGCGGTTTGCAATAAATAGTATATTTAATGTTTTAATAATTTTTCAGACAATTAAATAAATGTTCCATTTATATTTATGTACTTCATTATATATTTTGGCCCTCTATATAACCCCCCCACCCCCCCCCCCCCCCCCCCCCCCCCCCCCTCTTTGTATCTCATGACCTCCCTGAGATCCCGTCCCCCACTTTTTAGAATCCCTGCTTCAGATGATAACTTGCATATTTGATGCAATTTTTATTCATCAAATGAGACTCAGTGTTCTTCAAAGCTCTGAGTGTTTCCGTTCTTTTTCACAGATTTTTTTTTTAGCAATATCTTTATTTGAATGTCATCTAAAAGAAAACAGAGTAGAGAAAGAGCGAAGTAGATAAGCAAGTTGGGATTGAAATAGGCTTTACCCCCTCCCCACTGTTTTAGTTCTTAAAACCTGATCTTGTCAGTTAGTTTCTTCACTGATGCTTCTATTTCACACCACTGAAGATCAGACTTCCTGTGAAAACCATTAAACTATTGTACCTGTTGCAAAAACAAGCTCTTGAGAGTTTGATGAGGGGGGAATGGTAAACCATAACGTGTGGTGTGTAGTGTGTTTCTAACTTTGCACTTGTAGCTCATATCCAGGATAATCATATGGTCAAGTGTTTTTTGGTGGGACTTCTATCTTCATTGTGTTACTTGTATTCTTAGTAGTAGAGTTAATGAAGTATAAAGTTCTTTGTGCATCAAATGTCAGGTCTACATATATAACCACCCAAAAAAAGAAAATGATATACACTCACCGGCCACTTTATTAGGTACCCCATGCTAGTAACGGGTTGGACCCCCTT